AGCACCCTATTGAGTGGCTCACAACTGCCAGCTCCAGGGGATTTGACACCTCTGCCCTTCTTGGAATTTGCCACATTCAGACAAATGTGCATACACAAAATTAAGAAAGAATAATTTTTAAAATGATGGATGCAGTAGTCAAAGTTTGTGATCCAAACTCTTTGGAAATGGTAGAGGTAAGGAGATCCAAGGGTTCAAGGTTATCCTTGGCTACATACTGACTTTAGTTCATGACCAGTCTGGGCTACAAGTGACCATGGATGTGGGGGGATGGGTGGAGAAAGGAGAAGTAGAGGAAGAGAGGAGGAGAAAAAGAGGAGGAGGAAACTAAATAAACAAGATAAAGATTGATGAATATGACACCAGACACTTTGGGATGAGATCAAACCTTGGCTCTGAAGTCGGGTCTTTCTGAGAATGGGGAGAGTTGCAAGGCAGATCTGTAGGGCAGTGTATAGAAGAAGGAGGAGCTTCTCAGAGTAGCAGGAGGCAGGGACACAGAGTGAGGAACTGGCAGGGCCTCAAGTAGGACTGAGTTGTGCAATGTAGAGCCCTGAGGAGGGTTTCACTTCTTGGTCCACACCCTCAAACTCCTCGAGAAAAATCACATTTTATATGCAAGCTTGTAATGCTTTTCATTGCTGCACGGAGGGCTCCCCCAGTTAGCAGAGCCCCTGGTTTTGGCTCCATTGATGTGGTGGAGACTGAAGGGAGGGGTGGAAAGGTGACCTGCTGCCACCTGGGGAAACCAACTTGTTCTCAGAGTGTCTACAGAATGGAACCAGGTGGTCCCAGGAAGTATCAGGAAGAGCCTGGGGTGCTGGAGGGCTCCCTTCACTTTGGAGGACTGTAATCCCACAGGGAAAGCAGATGAGGAGTGGGCCAGCTCAAATAGGCACCCAGCCTCACCCTTCCTAATCCTCCAAAGGAGCTGTTGCTTATAAACACAGCAATTAACCACAGGAGGCCGATGACTCAGTTCAACGGCCTGTAAAATGCTCAGAAAAATAGGGGCCCATAAATGCAAAAACATCATTATGAGCACTTTCCCCAGAAACATCTTCCATCCTCCTGGGATGCTGCCTGTGAGGCTCAGCTGGACTGATTTCTGTCATAAAATAAAACTCACCTGGCCTGGGGAGCAGGTGTTCTGGTCAGACTCCAGACCCTTAGAGAGCGGAGCCCCCTTACGTTGCCTCACCTCTCCCAGAGGACCGATGGTGCCCAGCAGCTACAAGTTCACAGAAGAATAATCCTGGCAGGCCTGGCTTCCTATCTTAGCTCATGGATGGTGGTCTAACCTTCTCTGAGCCTTGGTCTCCTTACCCCACTCCAAAGATGAGTCTAAGACTTGGTATAATCATCCTTAGGAACTCCAGATACTTTGAGCAACATAAAGCCATTTACAGATGGATTTACATAATGCCCCGCCCCATCGTCAGGGCATCAGTTCCAAGACACCCAGTGGATGCCTGGAGTCTCCTGTAACGCTGAACTTACACACTGTATCCTATTTCTCTTGAGCATACACTTAAGATAAAGTTTAATTAAATAAAAATAATAACTAATGATAAATTAGAAAGATGAAGTGATAGACTATAATAACAACTATTTCTAATTTATGAATCAATTATCTCTTAAATTGCCCATTGATTGTTGTCTGGCCCTGAGTGACAGCAACTGGAAACATGAAAGCAGACCGGTGGAGAAAGGAACCCTGTACACTGGTGGAAGTGGGGAAAGCTGTGTGGGATTCTCTCACCTCCATTGTACTTCAGATAGAACCCAGCTAATCCAGGAAGGGACAAATGCCACCTGTTTCCTAGGGCCTTGGGCTCTGGACCTAGGACAGATCTCCATGATAGCTACTACTCACAGGTCTACCAGCATGGTGAGGACAACTGCCAGGAGCCTGGGGGCTCAGAGATCGCTCCTCCTCCTCCTCCTCCTCCTTCTTCCCTTCCTCCTCTTTCTCCTCTTCCTCTCCCTCTTCTTCCTTCTCTGCCTCCTTATCCCCTCTTCCTCCTTCTTTCTTCTCTTCTTTCTCATCTTCATCCTCTCGTTCTACTACTACTTCATCTCTGTCTTAAGACAGGGTCTCACTATGTAGCTCTGCCTGTCCTGAAATTCCAGTATGTAGGCCAGGTTGGCCTCAAACTCACAGAGATCTATCTGCTTCTCTGCCTCCTGAGTGCTGATATTAAAGATGTGCGCCAGACTTGGCAATGGGTCTTAACTGAAGGGATTTGTGTGGGGAGAGGGGTATGGGTGTGTGAGTGTGTGTGTGTGTGTGTGTGTGTGTGTGTGTGTGTGTGTGTGTGCCTAGCTGGGTTCTTAATTTTTTTCCACTTATGATCTCTTTTGCCTTAGAGATGTTTGCTCAGCTCTGAATATGCGGCTATGTAAAATAAGTATAAGAAGCAAAAATTCGTCAGTAAAGAAATTTATTCCTGGGCTGAGGAGAAGACTCGGTGAGTAAAGAGCTTACCATGCCAGCCTGAGGACCTGGGTTTGAGTCCCTAGGACCCACACAAAGTCCAACACAGTAGAATGTGTGTCTGTGGTCCCAGCCCTGCTATGATGTGATAGGAGGTGGAGGCAGGAAAATCCCCAGAAGCTCTGAGCTAGTTAGCTTAGCATGCACAGCAATGAACAACAAGAGACCCAGGAGGCTGTCCTCTGACTTCTACACGTGCGCCATGGTGTGCAGGCACGGACAGGAGAGAACACGAGTTAAAAAAGATTCTCACACAGAGAGTGAGAGAGAGAGAGTAAAAAATACTCTAAACCAATTCTTTAAGACATGCACATATGCGTGTGTGTGTGTGTATATATATGTTTATGTACACATATATTCCTCAGAGTCTCACTATTTATAACCGTTTTACCCTTTACTAAAGATGAAAGCAGATTGACACAGTGATGAGATGGGTGTGCTGGGTGATGTTTACATAGAGAATTGAGTCTTAAACCAGCTGTGGTGGCACACGAATTTAATCCCAGCACTTAGGAGGTGGAGGCAAGGAGTGGGGTCTCTGAGTTTAAGGCCAGCCTGATCTATAGAGTTAGTTCTTGGACAGCCAGGACTACACAGAGAAACCCTGTCTCAAAACAAAAGCAAAAACAATAAAAAATAAACCTTGGTTGGCTGATTCTACAGGACATGGATCATCATTGGCATTTTTTTTCCAGAGCTGATTAAGATTTGATTTTGTAGGAGTCAGTGTTGAGAACACAGATTCACTTAAATACATCATATAAAAATGGACATTTCAGAAACTGTTGGACATTCTGCCCTAATTTCAAGCCAAAGTTCATGAAACAATTTCTTGTGAATTTAAATCAGAACCCAAGCAGTAATTAAAAGATATTTTATTATGTGTGCACGTGTGTCTGTGTGCAATTGTGTGTGAAGGACAGAGAACAACTTGTGGGAATCACGTCTCTTCTTCCACTCTGTGGGTCCTGAGCATCAAACTCAGATCCTCAAGTTTTGCAGCAAGTACCTTTACCCATGAACCATCTTGCCAGTCCTCAAGTAGCAATTTGTAAAAGCAAACATTCTGGCCCAATACAGTGTAAAGTCTCCTAATTGAATACCCGTGGGCTTAACAGTGGTGGTACTTTTGGTTTCACCATTATTAAATCCAAGCAGTGTGTATTGATGTTGTGTGGCATGTGGTGTGTTCAAAATAAGGCACGGGGTTGTGTGAACTGTCCAGAACCAAGGTTGCAGGGCAGTCATATGATGTCACATGGACAAGTGATGCCCTAAATACCTTGTATGCATTTGATTTTGAGTTAACGTTTGGTAATTATGCTTTCAAAGCTAATTTATTACAGTTAATTTTTGTGCCCCCGCAACTTTAAATTATACCACTTCAACCAGAGTCATACCCCACAGTTTCAAATCTGGGTTCCCAAGACCAAGTACAACCTCTGGAGCCTGGCCACTGACAGCAGCTCACGAACCCCTGGAGTACCAGTCACATTCCTCCCTTCCATCGGTTCCCATCCATCCCAAAGAGGAAGTTCCTCTCTTCGTGATATCCCCAATCCTCCCAATCCAATTGGACTAATCCACATTTATCACACACCCTGAGAAACACAGGGAAGTTGGGGGTCTCTTTGAGCCATCTTGATTCATTATTTACAGGATAGTGAGGGGTGTCACAGAAGAGAGGGATGAGGAAGCAACATGGGTACTCAGTGGTGCTGACTCTCCCATTGTGTGATCTATCTACCCCCTACCATGGGAGCCCAGATTTGGAATCTGTGCTCCAGCTATAAGCTCTTTGCTTTGTCCTTCTGGCTCTTGATTTTGATTTTGTGCCTGGACCCTGGACTTGGTTTAGACGTCTGGCAATAACCTGGTCCCTGCTATAACCTCAGACTCCCAGGTCGTGGCCCTGCTGTCCTGGTTCAAAGGTTAAGTCAGATGGCTCCTCCTCGATGCTTCACTTTTTTGTTCCATCACTTAGCCTTCTGTTTTGTAACTATTTGTTTTCATGACTGGGCCCCTCCTAGGATTGTGAGCAATTAAAGATAGAGAATGAGTGTCAAACATATTTCGTAAATGAATGCATAATAAATTATGATCTTCCTGATTGAGGAAGGATAATCACTTGTGATGCTATTATGAGTAACAGAGAATTATTTTTGTCATCCCTAAATTCCATGCCAAGCATCCCAAGAGGGAGAAAGAAGGGCCTCTGTGTGACTCACCCCACCTTGAACCAAGGAGCATTTCAGAGTTGGTTTTTTTTTTGTTAGATTGATTTTTGTGTATGTATGTGTGTGGTGTGTGTGTGCATGCATGTGTAGCATGTGTGTGTGGTGTGAGTATGCATTTGTGTATAGGGTGTGTGTGTGCATACATGCATGTGTGCATGTGTAGTGTATGTGTGCTTAAATTCATGTGTGCTCAGGAGCATGCAGAATTTGACATCAGGTGTCCTCCTCAATTAATCTCCCTTTTATTTTTTATTTTTATTCTTATAGGGGAAAATATGAGCAAAGAATCCCACTTCTACACATTATGAAGTTGAGCTTCCTGCATTTGGGGAAATCACAGGAGTCAGAATGTCCTAAGTACAATGGAGAAGCCTCATCCTGGGAAAACACTTTTGTGGCCATGACACCTTCCCTGCCAGGTAAGTATCCAAACTTGTTTTTTGAGACAGGATCTCTCTCTCTCTCTCTCTCTCTCTCTCTCTCTCTCTCTCGTGTTTGTTTTGTTTTATTTATGTAACTTTTGTTTCCCTGTGTGTATGCGTACAGTGTACTATATGTGTATGGTGTCTACAGCTGTCAGAAGAGGCAGTCAGAGCCCCTGAGTTATAAATAGTTAAGAGGTATCACATGGGTGCTGGAAACCAAACCCGGTCCCTCTGCAACAGTGTTCTTAAATGCTGGAGCCATTTCTCCAGCTCCTGGCAACAGTGTCTTTGAACCATGAGCTCACTGATTAGGGCAGACTAGCTGACCAATGAGTTCCAGGATCCTTCCATCTCTGTCACTCCAAGGCTGGGGTGATAGATACATGCTAGCCACACTCAGTTTTTTGTTTGTTTGTTTTGCTTTGTTTTTAAACAGAATCTCACCTTATTTTCCTTGATGTTCTGAACTGACTATGTACACAAACTGACCTTAAACTCACAGAGATCCCCCTGCCTCAGCCTCCTGAATCTTAGGATTAAAGGCATATGCCTCCATGGGGCCATACTTGGCTTTCACCTTTTTTGTGGGTGCTGTGTATCCCCATGCTTTCACAACAGGCACCTCACCAACTAAGCCATCTCCCAAACCCCAAGGTCTCATATACGCTTTCTCTTCAACTTGACCACCTTAGCACAGCCTGCACCAGGATGAGTTTGTTGCTTACTTATGCATTTCAGACCTTATCTTAAAGTGGTCATGGCCCCTCAGTATTGCATCATGTTTCCACTATTGCATTTCTTCTTTTATTATTGCTGTAGGTTGTGAGTTAGGACCATAAAAGTAAAGGAGAAAAAAAATTACTTCCAGGCATTTGCAGCTCTGAGAAGCCAGAACAGAGCTCTCAGAAGCTGGCTGGGTGCCACAGAGAGGAGGAAATGTTCCTCCATGTTGCCAGTCTTATCAAGGCTCCACAGCTTCTTGCCAAAATCTTAGGAAAATGATGTTCTACTCCCCGGGAGCTATGCTGTATGTGTCTATAGGTCTGAAGTCTTTCAACAAGTATTTTCACTATAAATACTTGGCATGTATTTTCATTGGATTAAGTCTGCAATTTGAGCTCCATATTGTGAAATTCTGACATAGGGCTATTAATCACTGGATGTAGTGAAGGAGCCATGGTCAACATTAGCCAGCAGGTGAAGGTTTACAGCATAAAGAATCCCGTATGAGTTGTGGGATTCACTCCACAAGAACAATTGGCAGCTTTCTGATTGTGAGATTTTTCTTTTTTGAGTAATGATAAGTAAGGAAAATGGAAATGGTTTTTGAAAGGCTAATAAAATCACATGATAGTGAGTACATTTAATCCCAGTACTAGGAAGACAGAGGCAGGAGGATCTCTGTGAGTTTGAGGCTGGTCTGGCTTACATAATGAGTTCTGGGCCAGCCAGGGCTACATATTGAGATCCTACATTAAAGGATGTGGTAGCTTGAAAGAAAACAGTCCCTAAAGGGAGTGGCACTATTAGGAAGTTTGGCTTTGCTGGAGTATGTATAGTCCTGTTGGAGGAAGTTTGTCACTGTGGAGGTGAACTTTCAGGTCTTATATATGCTCAAGTCACACTAGTAAGACAGACCACTTCCTGTTGCCTGCGGATCAAGATGTAGAACTCTCAGTCCCTTCTCCAGCACTATGTCTGCCTGCGTGCTGCCGTGCTTCCTGCCATGATGATAATGAACTAAACCTCTGGCACTGTAAGTCACCCACAATTAAATGCATTCTTTTTTTTTTAAAGAGTTTCCATGGTGATGGTGTCTTTCCACAGCAATAAAATTCCTAACAAAGACAGAAGTTGGTATCAAGAACTGGGGTATTGTTGCGATAGGTCTGACCATGCTTTCGTTTGAAGGAATATGGACCTTGAGACTGTGGATTAAGAAAACACTTGAACACTTTAAGTGATGCTAAATGGGTCATACTAGTAGGAGCATGGAAGACAGTGGTACTGAGTGTGATCTGATGAACTGTGGGAGCCTGGCTCAAGAGGTCTCAGAGGAGAGGAGCGTTAGTATGTGGCCTAGAGATCAGTCTTGTGATATTTTGGTGAAGGATGCGACTGTATTTTGCCTTTGTCTGAAGAGTCTACCTGAGAATAAAATGAAGAGCTTTGGATTAATTCCATTGGCAAAGGAAATCTCAAAATAACCTAGTATAGACTCTGTCATGTGGTTATTAGTGTTAACTCTAATGAAAATTTATAATGAAAAGGAGCAAGATGGGCACAGTAAATTATAAAATGTAAAATTTGAGGAGAAAAGGAACACCAGGAAATGGAATGGAGCTTAAGCCCTGTGTTGAAGGAGATAAACAGATTGAGAAATGGAATAAAGGGAGTGATGACCTTAGGGGAAGATCCCAACCAGCTAAGGTTCCAATTTGTTGAAAAGAATTTTTAAAAAGCTTAAAGCAGAGTGTGGTGCTGCATGCATTTATTCTTGTATTCAGAAGACAGAGGCGGGGGGGGGGATCTCTGAGTTTGAGACCAACCTGTTCTACAGAGCAAGTTCCAGAACAGTCAGGCTTAAGCAGTGAAGGAAACCATGGAAAACAGAAAGCTGATGAAGATGTAACCGAACAAGGGGGCCATATTTCAGTCCTAGCAAGCAGCAAAACTTGGCAGCTTCGGCCAGGTGGTTCTGAATTTACAACTAAAGGATAGAATAAACGGGTTATGGAACCTATTCTGTGACTTAAGAAAGCCACTGGGGCCAGGCATGTGTCAGGGGTATCCTTGAATGGAGATCTAGAGAGGCCTTTGAGTGAAGCTGTGGAGGTGCAGCCTGGATTGCCTTGAAGACCCCAAGGTGTTGGAGATGCCAGAGCTGTGGGATGCCTGCTTAGGAGAGCTGATAACAGGGAGTGGAACCAGCCCAAGAGAAAGAAGTGTGTTGCAGTCAACAAAACTAAAAGGAGTTGGAGATCTGAAGAGCATTTTGACATCAGACATGGAGATGCAGAGTTTGGAGCTTGCTCAAATGTTTTTCAGTCTTGCTCTGGTCCAGTATTTCCTCACTATGCTCTCATCCCTACAGTGTATATCCTGTGTCATTTATGTTGGAAGCCTGTGATCTGTTTTTTGACCTTGATTTTATAGGGGATTACAGTGAAGAGTTTACATGAATCTCAGAAGAGACTTTGAACTTTGGACTTTTAGACATTGTTGAAACTGTGATAGATTATGGGGACTCTTGAAATTGGACTGAATGTATTTTTGCATTATGATTTTGCTTCAAGTCTTTAGGAACCAGAGAGTGAAATGTGGTGGTTTTAAAGAAAATGGCCCCTAAAGGGAGGGGACACCATTAGAAGGTGTGGCTTGATGGAGTAGGTGTGACCTTGTTAGAGGAAGTGTATCACTGTGGAGGTGAACTTTGAGGTCTCATATATGCTCAAGCCATGCCCAGTAAAACAATTATCTTCCTGTTGTCTGTAGATCAAGATATAAAGCTCTCAGATCCTTCTTCAGCACCATGTCTGCCTGCATGCTGCCATGTCCCACCATGATGATAATGGACTGAACCTCTGAAACTGTAAGCCACCCCATTAAATATTCCTTTATAAGAGTTGCTATAGTATGGTGTCTTTTCACAGCAATAGAAATCATAGCCAAGAGAAAGGGGTGGGGAACAGAGCTGGGGAGATGGCTTACAGTCAAGAGCACTTGCTGTTACAGAGGACCTCGGTTCATTCCCAGAACTCACATGGTGGCTCACAACAGTCCATAATTCCGGTTCCAGGGAATCCGACACCCTCTTCTTACTTCTGTCGGCACACGGCACACATGTGGTTCACATACATACTTTCAGGCAAAACACATAATACACATAAAATAAATAAATATACCCCAAACTTGTAAAGCTGATAAGGAATCTCAACTATTCTTTTAAATATTTACTCTAGGCAATGAGACTGGGCTCGGTTATAGGGTACTTAGCACAAAGCCCTAGGTTCTGGCACCATCCCTACACAAACTGGGCATGGTGGTGACATCTGTAACTTCATTTACCAAATGGTGACATTTGGGAGGCAAAAGAAGGAAGATCAGAAGTTCAAGGACACTGTCAGTTAAGTAGTGAGTTTAAGGTCAGCCTGAGCTACATTGAGACCTTATACTAAAAAACAACAAAATAAAATAATACTAATGGTAAAAGAAATGTAGTTAAGTATATGTTTAGATTCCTTTGAAACCATTGCAATGATTTAATTCAGACAATTAAATTTGTTTATAAGACTATGCGGGGCCGGTAGTGGTGGCGCACGCCGGTAGGATTTGCTGAAGGGATTTGCTGAAGGAGGCAGAGGCAGGAGGATCACGAGTTCGAGGCCAGCCTGGGCTACACATTTTTTTCCCTCCCATCTCCTTCCACAACTTCACCCACCACGCTCTTCTGCTTCCAAAACAAAAAAAATTCACACACACTCACCGCTTCAAACACACCTCACCCTCAACAACAACCTCTCAAAAAAAAAAAAAAAGACTATGGGGGATTGCTGTTTTGTTTTGTTTTGTTTTTATTTGGTCGAGGAGTATGTCTATCTGGAACAGATAAGACAAATTCTAAATTTAATTGTGCTGTCCCTTAGTCAATCAGCTGATTGTCAAAGACCAGTGTCTACTGCTTACTCAGGCCCATGTCTGGAAGGATGTAGAGCAGATTAAGGTAATATTTCTACATTCTATGACTCTAGAATCTACTCAGATGCCATCTTTTCAGAATTTGCTGACGAATCAGATAGACCTTGGCTCAAATCCCAGTTCTGGATTTGGCCACAGAGTGGAATTTTGGTAAATAAACATCTCTGAGCTACTTCTTCATCTGTCAAATGAAGGTGCTAACAGCACCTACCTGTTGGGGTGACCATGAGAATGGAACAGAGAGTGGGCTTATTTTCCAGACCGCATGTACAAATACTTCCCACTTGCCTTAGTCCTTAGCCTA